CACCACAGAAAGTCTGGCGTCACAGACCACTATGCTTTGGATGACAACCATGCACTTCACTTGGCTCGAAAGGCTGTAAGAAGTTTGAATTATCGGAAGAAAATTGAAGTAAGTGATGTGTGTTACAGGATTTAAGTGAAAGTGTGTTACCTTCATTTTAGGATCATATGCTGTATATTTTCAAACTCTAAAGTTTGGTTGTAATCTATATTCTTTTTGAAATGTGCTTGGGCCCTGAAGAGGCTATCAAACTGCTCGTGTTACACATGTGATAGATAGCTTTATCAGCCAGATAGCTTTGTTATGAATATATTACATTCAGAATAGAGACAATTAAATTTTATTGCACTACAGTATAATGAAAAAAAATATTCCTAACCGATTGTACTTAATGTGCTTTTTCCTTTAGGTCAGAATTTAAACGATTTACTGTATACTGCATACAGTCTAGTTTTCAATTACATTGTCCGAATTCTTCTGCAATGTCTCTTAAATTAGCTGAAGTTTATGTATGACAGCATTTAACAGCTGGCTTTCCTAATATGGATCACTGATCCTATTTCTGGGAAGCAAAACCCAAAGTGTCTGCAAGGCCTGCCTGCTCTAGTGCTACACGTTCCATTCACAGTCATGACACCTCCATATTACAGGTGACAGTGGAGCCTCCAGAGGACCCCCTGTATTCTTCCGACGAATTATACGGCATCGTTGGCGACAACCTGAAAAGGACCTTTGACATTAGAGAGGTATTTACAGCTGTTCTTTGATGGCTCTAGTGTTTATTTCTGTGGTGATATCCTGTCATCTCACATGTTTCCAATCATTTTCCCCCCCCCAAGAAAGCCGGCTAATATTTTGTGTAATTTTAACTCCACATTGCATAAAATGTAGTTTTACAAGCCCATTTTATATGTACACCAGGAAATTCCCTAAAGTTGAGTATTCTCATGGCTCAGGGTTTATTGTCCTGCTCGTCTCCTCTGATACCATGGCCCTGTTCGTACTGGAAGATCCCAGTTCAGCCCCTGTGCTGGGCTTTGTATCTATCGGTGTTGTTTTGAAGCCATAGAAACTCTCAACGAAACAAGCACAGCTAACAATGCACTTTGGTGATTTTTCCAATCAGGAACATGCCAGTCATTTCTAATAGATTCAAATCGGTCCACCGGATTTCCTTTAGTAAGGAAAAATACTTACAAATAATGAACTGTGCAGTAATGCAGAAAGATTGATTTTTCTTCATAGGAAATGGTACCGTTAAAATGATATTTGTTGATGGGATTGTGTGTAGTAACATGAAAAAGGATTATAACACCATATTTTCCCCGTTTTGTTTTATTTCTTTATAAATATTTACTGCCTTTTCATTCTTCTTATTGGTGAATATCATCAGATTAAATCTTAAATTCGTAGGTTTTTGAAGGTGGTTATTTCTTCATTTACTCTGGGGATTTTTTTTTCATTTTTTGTCAGCTTGAAGCAAAAATATTTGGCTTTATTTCAGGTTATTGCACGAATAGTTGATGGAAGTAAATTTGACGAATTCAAAGCCTTTTACGGAGACACACTGGTCACAGGTACGGCAGATTAATAATCTCTGGATGAACCGTATGAACGGGTAATTTATTTATTTGTTATTTAGGACCATGTTGCAGTTTAGTTCAAGTAAACCGTTGTACTGATTTTTATAAAACAAGTGGGCAACCTTCACTGAATGAAATGTAAAGATTTAGAGACTTCCCATAGTTTTCATTGGAAAGACTAGAGCTAATAAGGTTATATGAAAATATAAAAAAGTTTATACAAAAAATTATACAAAATTGTGTATCAGCTGTGTTTTTTACTTTTTTAGTTAATTCAGGATCATTTAAAATCATATTAAACGGCAATAAATCATACAATTTATTCATGCCATGTAGGAAAGTGTATATCTTTGTGATGTAATTTAAGAGATAGTTTTAAACACTTTAATGATTCTAGAGATTGCAGTGGTTTTAATGGGAAAACAAGAAGGTGTTTTGGATATAGAAAACATAAGCAACTGTACAACACATTTGTGATTGCTTAATTATTTTAAAGAACATATCCAGTAACCAGGGTATTTTCATGATAATAATTGTTGCAGGCTTCATTGAAAAATGTCTTTTTTAATCAAAATAAGAATAAACTTTTGTCTTTATCGGTGGAAACAGGTTTCTCCAGAATCTTTGGATATCCTGTGGGGATCATTGGGAACAATGGAGTCCTTTTTTCAGAGTCAGCAAAGAAAGTAAGTATCTTTGTATTTTAAGATCAGATTTAAAATTGTAATATATATGTTCAGGATCTTTTTTTTATGCTTGCTTATCAATGTCAGGATTCCCTTTACTTCAGGGGATGCTTGTCTTCCATTCTCCATATAACAAAATTGGATTCCAATTTGCTTTATCTTCTTAAAAGCTCCTCAACTCCAAGATCATTTTTTTAAAAAAAAACATAATGCTGCCTTGAAAGCAAAGGCTGGGAAATCCATTGGCTGGTACACTTTCTACTATTGATTCATATGGCCACAGAATGGCCCTAGCAGAGGCACAGTAGGATCTTTTTGTTTCATTAAAATGTATGCTTGAAATATAATGTATTTATTCAATCACACAAAATGAGTCTTTTTTTCTGATTGAATAGATAGATATTATTCATAGCAGATTATGAAGAAAAAATGATGGGTGTGAAAGTTAAAGTGTTCACAGACACACTGCTTGATTACCTGACTGACACATTACTCTAAAGGCTGTAGTTAACAGAATTTCACACAGAGATTAGTCAGAGGCGACTGCAGGTGTCTTGAAATACACAGTGTACCCTATGAGAACTCCTGATGTTTAAGACTATTATTGTTGTTCTACATCAAGAAAAATAAAAGGTTAATGCATTTCATATTCTTTTTAAACATACGGGTCTTTTCTGCTGAGAAATACAAGAATGTTTTCCAATGTTTTATACAATGCATATAACTATCGATATTGTCGTTTCCAAAATTATCCTGAAGTGTTATTTATTTGGTCACTACTGTGCATTGACATTTCTGTTTTCAGGAACACATTCTTTATAAGGATGCTATGAGTTTTCAGAATCCTGTGCTACAAAAATTCCATCCAGGAAGAGGATTAGGTGTAATTACAGAAGTTTTCAGGAAAATAAACTCCCATACAAATAAAACTCTTCTCTTAAATCATAAAGATTTATTTTGATAATGCTTAAGTAACATCATTATCTTATAACAGTCCAATGTTTTTCCTTCAGCATTGTCTGAAAGCTTTCCTGAAATAAATGTTTTAATAGCTTCAGGGGAGTCTGACCTCCTTCAGTGCATTGTTATTAAGCATAACAATGTCTTATCAAATAAAAAAAATAGTACATAACCTTTTTTTATAATAGTGTAACTATAGACAGAATGTGTAATACTGCTCTAAATCAGTACTGAGATCATCAGATCAAAAGTTACTAGGTGAGCTGAACAGCCTCCTCTTATATGAAGCCTTCCTTATGATGTTCTGTTTCAGATAAAGTGAGATTTCGTGCTTAGACATGAGAAAACAAAGATATGCCAAAGATTGTTTTCACAAGTGTGTACTGAAATACATTTGCGCATATTTCTAACTGGTTCAGGAAGAACTTTTTATGTTGTTTTTTTATTTCTGTTTAGATTTCTGATGTTTGTCATGGATGTGCCTTTACTAGGATGATCTGAAAACCTAACCCTTTATTGAATGAAAATAAAAATAAGCTTTTTTTCCTAGTGAAGAAACTCAAAACATTAAGGACTAACAATGTACTACATATGTTAAAAAATAGATCCTGTGAGACTTTTACTTACATTTTTGCTTGTATGGTAAATGAATCGGGTAGTGAATTGTGGATTTGTGTTTGCATTTTCCTTTCCAAAAACAAAACCAGCCCTCTTGTATCAACAAAATACCTTAATGATTCATATATCAAAAACAACACTGCTCCTCTCAATCAAATTAAGTCTTTAAAGGCCAAAACAAGTGTTGATTAAAAGAGGGAATTTGTTCTGCCCTAGAGCTAGAGGACTATATTGAAAGCGTCGTTTGATGACACTGGTTTAATTTTGTTCTACCTCGCCTAAGCATCTTCTCAATTTCTTGTGCAGTAAGTGAAGGACCCCAGGGATTTTTTAACACTATGGATTGTAATTAATAAGAGAACTGAGTGGAATGTATTATGTTCTATTATGTCTCCATATATCGTTTTTTTATTTAATTTGAGGTTTTCTGTGAAATTACCTTTGGAGAAAATTAGCTTTTTTCTTTAGTTTGACAAAGTGTTCTGTATATTTTGTGTAAGCATATAATTTAATGTTCAAATTTGTATTGAAATACATATCAAATAAGTAATGTATTTAATTAGATTTAATCATTTACAGGCGCTGTCCTTTGGATGAGACGTACTGTAAAACTGAGGTCCTGACTCTCTTTGGTCATTAAAAATCCCAGGGCAGTTCTCGAAAAGAGTAGGGGTGTAACCCCGGCTTCCTGGCCAAATTTCCCATTGTTCCTCACCAATTATGGCGTCCTAATAATCCCCATCTATGAATTGGCTTCATTACTCTGCTCTCCTCCCCACTGCTAGCTGATGTGTGGGGAGCGTTCTGGCGCACTATGGCTGCCGTCGCATCATCCAGGTGGATGCTGCACATTGGTGGTGGTGGAGGGGAGCCACCCCATTACCTGTAAAGCGCTTTGAGTGGACTGTCCAGAAAAGCGCTATATAAGTGTAAGCAATTATTATTATTATTTAGTAAAGAGAAGGATAGTCTAGGCAAAACCTTTAAATCCCTGCTTCTAAAGATTGTACAGAAAGGAAAGAAAAATAGCATAACATTTGGCATGCAGTATTCATTTTCTCACATGTCTCGGATAAGCACTTTTCAGCTTATAAGAGTTATTACAGATGTCCTTCTCTTCATCCACAAGCACAGTATCTTGTTGGTGAGGATTGAAGTTGACTTATGCCTGATTCAAGTTGATTAATTATCAAATAAGGCAGACTTGATTTGCTTTGTATTGTGGGTCATCCTTGACAAAGGATGACAAAGTTTGTCACAGACAAACTTCCATTTTCAAAAATTTAACAAAACTAACAAAATATAGAATGGCTACATAGGCATCCAGTTTCAAAGACACTAAGTTAATAAAATTTGTGCAACTGCATCAAATATCACTTACTGAAAAACATTTGATTATAAACCTTTCAAAGCTTAAAGTAATTTGTATAGTTGTATTTACAAATGGATAGTGAGGTATATATAAATTAAATAGTATTACAAAAAACATATTGTCTTATTAACTTTCAAATGTAGATAGAAAGCATGTAAAACTCAATTATATGAATTGTTTAATGATTTTACAGATAAGTTACTTACTGTGTTCATTTCCTTTGAGTATTCTGCCAGATTTGTAAAATGGAAATCTACTTTTTTTTTACTATATAGAACTGAGGACTCTGTGGTCATTTAAAATCCCAGGGCGTTTCTCGATAAGAGTAGGGGTGTAACCCCGGCATCCTGGCCAAATTTTCTCAATCATGGCCTTTACCAATCATGGCCTCCTAATAATCCCCACCTATGAATTGTCTTCATTACTCTGCTCTCCTCCCCACTGATAGCTGATGTGTGGTGAGTGTTCTGGTGCACTATGGCTACTGTCGCATCATCCAGGTGGGGCTGCACATTGGTGGTGGTGTAGGAGAGTCCTCATTACCTGTAAAGAACTTTAAGTGGCGTGTCAAGAAAAGTGCTATATAAGTGTAAGCAATTATTATTATTATTATTATTATTATTATTATTACTAAGTTTTTCCAGAGATTGTCATTTTAAAATTAGATGATATCAATAATTTATATCAATACGGGACACCATTCATTATTGAAACCCCCCAGTGATTAATTTAGATGAAGATGTTTTAGTTTATCACAAAGAAGAAATGTGTGCCTTTAGACATTTCATTCCCACTGAAGTAGACTGCAAAACTTGTTAGTGGTTTGAGAATCTAAAAGTCTGAAATGTTTACCAGCTAGTCATTTCCCTCTCACTGCAAGGTTTTTCTTGTGGAGTTAAAAAAGTTTATGTAAAGACCATGATGAAGGGCTGCTGTTGTTGTTCCACCATTTTGTGTCAGGTTTCAGACTCGACTGACCTTGACTCTCCTCTGGTTTAAATGGAGGCTTTTGTGTCCATCAAGAGGAGCTGGGTCAAGGTGGAGCTTAGGACATTGAACCTGGCACTCATGCTGTAGCAGTTAGTCTAGTCCTGATCTTGTCTGTGTGCTGATACACAGCCAGGGTGTTCATAGGCCTGTTGTTTTGGAAGTACTGGTAGGTAACTCCTGGGAGAGACTGTGCTTTATTTTGTGGAATGGCTAAATATTTTCTTTTTCTAGCACAAGAGCAGTTTACGTAAACTGACGCTTTTTGAACTGTTCTTTTGTCTGGCCTATGTTTTACTCTGGACTTCTTGGGTTATCCCTGGATCTACCACCAGGTAGTTTAGTCACACAGAGTTAATTAACAAGTTTTGTTTTCATCACAGGGAACACATTTCATTGAGTTGTGCTGCCAAAGGAATATTCCACTTATTTTTCTACAGAATATCACAGGTATGTTAAATAGCATATATCACAATTTAGAGATGAGATCCCAGCTGTCTATTACTGATCCCAAATAGGATATTTGTCATTGGAGTGGTATGCACGTTTGACCTTGTCTACGTCACTATCCAGAAACTCCATTCGTTGAGACCTGTAATATTGAACAGTATGTATTTTGAGTAATCTGACATTTTTAAACAATTAAATCTCTAAATTACCTTGTTGGTTTATCTTTCGTTTGATACTGTCGTGAAAATGTAATTCTAAGACAAGATAGTGTGCTGTAGCTGCTGAACTTGAGCAGTGCTCCGGGATTTGTTCATCTTTTTCAGGGTTCATGGTTGGGAGAGAGTATGAAGCCGGAGGAATTGCAAAGGATGGTGCCAAAATGGTAACAGCAGTGGCCTGTGCCAATGTCCCCAAAATCACAGTCATTATAGGAGGTTCTTACGGAGCAGGAAACTATGGCATGTGTGGCAGGGCCTACAGGTGAGCACTGGGTCAAAACCTTTACATGTAATACTGTGAAGGTTTTATGGGTTCTTTGTTGTTGAATTAGCACCACTTCAGTATTTTTTTGTGTATTTTAATCCATAACCTTGTAGTAATCGAGCTGTCTTGTAGCCTACTGGTCTAGGTGCGTGACTACCAACTGGTGGGTTGTGTGTTCGAATCCAGCTGGTGCTGGACTTTTGGGCGGAGCGGTGGCTCTGTGGCTAAGGATCTGCGCCTGTGACCGGAAGGTTGCCGGTTCAAATCCCACGGCCGGCAGAGGAATCCTACTCCGTTGGGCCCCTGAGCAAGGCCGCTGCTGTTACCATTTTGGCAGACCCTGCGCTCTGACCCTAAGCTTCTCTCCCTGTCTGTGTGTCTGTGTCTCCCTGGAGAAAAGCTGGGGTATGCGAAAAGACGCATTCCTAATGCAAGAAATTGTATAGGGCTAATAAAGAAACATTATTACATTATTATAATCTAGACTGAGCCAGGCAGAATTTTAAAAAGTGTGAGTCTGCAGCTTGTGGTTCTTGCAGAATTTGAATTTTTTGTCACTAAGGGAATGACGTTGTACGTATTAGCTATACGTCATCAAATGTTTTCACTGAAATCAATGTCCTCTGTAAATGAATTCTTAGTTTATTGGGTTTCAGTGGATATTCCAAAATGTCCAGTTCAGTGTGTAGTGTTATTCTTTGTGCAGTAGTTCTTCCTTTAAAGCTTATATTGTATAAGGTTCACAGACAAACGTCCATTTTCAAAATCATAACAGCCAATGGCTATATCAACATCCAATACCTTTATTTTCTGTTAATGTTTGAGTGACATGCTGCATCAGCATGTGAGCTCAAAGGACCACGCAAAGGTTAATTCCATGCTGAAAGGTCAAAATAAAAAAGACATTTCAGATCCATATTTGTTTTTCCTTTTTCATTTTTGGCATGGAATTAGCCTCTGATTATAGTTCTGTGTTTGTTAATTTTTCCCCCTTTTTACTTTATAGTGATGGCCTGGAGATTATATTTATATACAGTAACAGGGCATTTCACTAGAGACATTGTGAGTGGTATGCCTTTTTTCAGAATACAGCAGCAGTACGTTAGCTTGGACACAGTCTTCCACAGTTCTGACCACTACTCCATCCTGCAGTCCTCTTCAGTCTGTCTGTTCAGGAGAAAGCACAGTTGGGAAATTACACATTTTATTTAGTATTTGTAGGTGGTGCAGTAGGTTTAATCTGGAGCCAAGTCTAAAGCTGTTTTTCATTTTTTGGAGATAAATACAAGAATAATTTTGGTTTTGATTTTTCTGCCACTTTGTGGTTATATTCTTTGAATGTTTTTTTTCTTTGGCAGCCCAAGATTCCTGTACATGTGGCCTAACGCTCGTATATCTGTGATGGGTGGCGAACAGGCAGCCACTGTTTTAGCAACAATCACAAAGGACCAGAAAGCCAGAGAGGGAAAGCAGGTATGAGCACATCTACCGGTGAAATAGAACTGCTGCTTAACCCATTTACATAACTTGGGTTACATTTAACATGGAAAAAGAATACAGCAGTGAAATTGCTTAGAAAAAGACTGGAGTATGATCATTAGAGCAAATACACTTTAATAAATGTTTTTATCAGTGTCTTATTTTTGCCAGAAGTGCCTAATTATTATTAAAATATTTTAACACACTGTAGCAACACTGTTAATATAATATTAATTATGTCCATGCCATTATCAAACACCAATAACTACTAGAGCTAATTCTACTGTCTCATACCACACCAAATCAAATCTCATAAAGCATGAAATTGGTAGTGTGTAGATCTTACATCTTTAAAGTAGCAATTCATGTGGAAAACTTTGCTAGAGGAGAAAATAGCTTGGCTTGATCTACCCTGTTTCCCAGTTTTCTGCAGAAGAAGAAGCCGCTTTGAAAGAACCCATAATCAGACGGTTTGAAGAAGAAGGCAGTCCATACTATTCCAGTGCCAGGTAATGTTCCATTTTTCTTCCATCAGAATTACATATTCAGATTTACAAGGAGTCAACTGCAGGTAACCACCCAGTGGTGACAGTCTATAGTGCATGTGTTGTGTATGAACATCGCCTTAGACTGCATCTACAACATAGTTTCCATCTGTTTTTGCATATATCCATATGCATTCACTCAGAAGCTGGGCATTCAAAATATATTTATACAGTACAATAAAAATGTACTGTACTTTTCTTCACCCCTGAATAAAGCATAGTTCTGTACCAAATGGACACATAACTGCTGTTTGTGATTTTTGAAGAATTGTAGAAATGCAGAGGTAAATAATTTTTCTCAGCAAATAATGTCATTCATTTTTTCTATTCTCAGATCACTGTTACATTTCACTAAATGTTTTTTGCTATTTTTCTAGAAATTTGAAAGACAACAGAGATACCATAAAACAATTTTGTTATTTCCATGACTACATGTGCAATTGACCAATTTTAATAGGCAGACAAAAGCAGTCTAGAATGCTGACCTATCCATGCCCTTACAGAAGTCAGTGATGTCCTGTAATAGAATGTGATATTTTGGGTAAATTATGTTAAGCAAAATCACTGTGAGTGTGACTTTTTTCTTCTTTAAGCTCTGTAAGGCTCTACTGGGGAAAATTCTAGTTTTGGGAACTGTGTTATTGCGACATGGGGGCTCTTTAACAATGGACCTTTTTCAGGTTTTACATAAAACAAACACAAAAAAATATTTTTAACTATTATAGGTATCCTAAATAGAATTAATTAAATTTGAAGGCTATTTGGCTGTTATTAAAATGCTATATTTATATAAAATTAAAATGTAACTAGGGAAATTAATTAAAATTAAAAATTTAATTAGCTCTAATTTGGATTTGACAAGGAAGGTTTAACAAGGACCATTAGTGCTTTTTACCAATTCCAAATTAATCATGTTCACCACCTAAAGAAATGGAAGTCCATTTCACTTCAAATTAATTGGGTTGGCATACCGCTGTGAGTAACATTCCAGCTAAATATAGTAGTAACTGAAAAGCAGAAATGTCACGGTGTTAAACAGTTGTTTTAATAAAATTCATGATCCGTTTAAAATGCACTGCTAGACAAAATCTTTTTTTTTAATAAATGTAATTCAGAACTCCCATTTGGAAGCTGTACTTGCACTTCTCTTGAGGGAGCACTTTTAGAATTTATTAGATTATTCTCCCTTTTATAAAGGTCCCTTTTATAAAGGCTTACCTATATAATAATATAGGAGATATAGTATATTCTATATTTACTTGAAAATATTTAAGTGATATCCTAATCACATTCCAGATAAAACTGGCTTGAGCTTTCTTATCTGTACTTTTAGTGTTCGCTAAGTATGGATCGCTGCTCATTTGTTTAAGCTTTTATGTCACCAGTTTATCCAGTTGCAGGTTATTTATCCATTGTAGTATGGATTTCTTGAAGCGCTTTTGTATTTTATGACATTTAAAAGCACCAGACATGTTTACTGAAAATTGTCATGTTGTTCGCAACTGTGTCATGACATCAATTTATATGAGACATTTCAATGCCCCACAACAAAAGCGACCTACTGCAATGTTTAATCTTCTGTAATCTATCTATACAGTACTTATACAGTGCATTATACAGTTGGTAAGATCGAAGCACTGGCACCCTGTATTTTAGTAAACATAATTCATTAGAACATTTGAATTGCCACTTGCTCAGATAAGTGTGCTAATCAGTAAACTTTGTGGAACTGTTACTGACCAAAAATGTATTGGTTAAAAAATAATATGTAATACACTTAATTGGTGAAGAACCAATTAATGGTCACAGATTTCTGTATTCTTTTTTTGTGTTGTAAACTTAAAGTCTCAAATTGTATGCTTACATAGGTGCCTTCGGTACAGGCCGCTTTTGAACACAACAGTTCAGACTCATTTGCCTTTTCTGCTTGGGGTTAATGCTCCTGTTTGATTTTTTATCTTTCTTCCAGGCTGTGGGATGATGGAATCATTGATCCCGCTGATACCAGACTGGTGCTGGGTCTGAGTCTCAGCGCCGCCTTTAATGCTCCCACAGAGAGGACGACCTTCGGAGTCTTCCGAATGTGATCAGGCGGCACAGTCTATTGACTGCAGGAAATTAAGCTGCATCCAATTAACAAAGGGTTCACTTCAGTGTTTCAGTAAATAATTGTATGCTTAGCCCAGTGTGCTGTTTCGAATCATTTTGTTCCAAGAAAACTTAACCTGGTTTTGATCGGGAAAAATCAGCAAGAGTTCGTTTTTGACTGACCCATAATAAAATGTTTAAACCATCTTTATTTTGTTTTTCTTCTAATTACAAAATTATTTGTAGACTTTGTCATTTCAGATTTACATAACCAAATACAGTGACATGTAATTGGATGGTGAATCCATTTCCAGTGTTTTCTCTTCTTGTGTGTTCAAGTCCATTACGCAAACCAAGTATTTTAGCCAATATTCTTTAACTGATAAAGTAAAGGAACTTCATGTGGGCACTTATGAGAGAAGTGCTTTTTTAGGGATTAGGCTAAAACCTTATGCTGTGAAGGTGACTGTGTACACCAGAGCAGTTACAAGGAAGACTTTAATAGAGCATGACGCCATTACATCTTGTACATATTGTACACAGTAACTGAGTCACCCAGTTATAAGATGAGATCTTCAAGAGTTTTAAAATTAAAGGGCAAGATAGTTATACAATGGGTGATATTAGCAGGTTAAGATGAATCAAGATATTGTGACGTACATTTTAAATTATCCAGACATTTAAACTTTTTTGATAAAGTTGTTATTGGAAATCAATTAAGCTTTAGCGGATGTATTGTAGGCTTATGCGTGTAAACTTTCAGGACATGGTTAGTCAAAAGACATAAATAAACTCTTCAAGTAGTTCAAGTAGTTGCATCAGCATGCGTAGGCTGCAAAGGAAAATGCAAAGGTTTATTCGCAAAGAAGGCTCCACAGCCAAACTTTGTTTACTTTCTTCTATTTTCAGCATGGAATAAACCTTTAATATTCCTAAATAAAATCTTAGTTAACTTTAATATAATATAATTGATACTATACTTTTGTTACTGAAACAATCTAAGACGAGTGGTTTGGTAAGCTTGCTTAAATTATGCAAAATGTTCTGTATTAATGTTAAACATGTTTAGTAACTGGTGAAGAGGTCAGTGGCATTAGTTATTCAAAGATCAGGAGCTTATCTGCTTTAATTTATGTCTGTTTACATGCTATAATACTGCAACACTAACAGCAGAGAGCATAAGATGCTGTGCAAATCAGACTGGACTTTAGAATCACCCAGACTCTTATTTTGTGATTATCTGGATTACCAAAAGGCAGGAAAGTGTGCTGAAGGTGCCTGTTTCCATTCATGGATAATGTGAAGAAGTACTCCAGTGCTTGGTCTGTGAAAAACTGGACAGAATTTTTTCAAGGTGTTTAGCTGCCAAAACCGTACTTAAGTGCTCGGATGAGTAAACCTTAATGATGTCAGCAATTCTGAAACATAAAAAAAAAAAATTTCTTAAGAAAAAAAACGTCTATTACACATAATATCAATTCAGATTGAAAATGTTTTCAGAAACCACCTAGGTTTTTTAATCATAAGAGGGCAGGACGATACAATATTTAAACAGACTTTGTGTTTACTTTTCTACAATAAAATAAATTACACAAGTGTGTTGAAAAAGTATATTGTTTGTCTCAACGATTAAATTAAAATAAGCAAAAAACCTGTTTAAAGGGATAAAAGTGCACATCTCAACATCTGAAATATTTATGATTTTTCTCTGTTTACTGTAGCATGTTCAACACAAATTCTTCTTTAAAACCTGTTTTAGGTTCTGACAGTGTGCAAGCTTTCCGTATTTAACCAGAATTTCACCTTTTAGGTATCACAAACAACATAAACTTTTTTGTGTGTGAGCATTTGTTGTGTGAAAGCAATCCGGTGAGTTTATTGTCCTCATGCTAATTTAAGACGGATCATTGATCACAGTAAAACACCCGCTCTGGTACCTTATTAATCACTTCGAGCAGAATGCTAAGTCCCCCGCTCATTTTGCGTGGGTCAGGACGTCATTGCCTTATGTTGGAAGGGTTACCAGTTGTTATAAAAGGTTGTTCGGTCGTGGAAGAGACGATTGAATTTATTTGAAGCGTTACAGTAAGTCTTCATATTGCACCGAGATTACAGATACAGTACCACCATGGACAGCTCCCGTATCTGTCTTCTCACTTTGTTCAGTGCTGCTCTCTTCTTCAGTACTAACAGCCAGGAGACGGAACTGGAGTCCAGGTCTTTAGATCATTATTCCACTAAAGAAGACGCCTCAAACGAAAAGCAATTGGTAAGTATAGAATACAGTTGTGGCATTACTGTAATTGTGGAGAAGCGACTTCTAATTTCCTCCGTGCTTTGTTAGAACAAGTTCATTTACCTCCTCGTTTCAACAAAATTCAAAAACGTTTTTCATATGTCGGTTTGCCCAGTCCTTGCCTGTCTTGTCGTGTCTGGTTGACTTATTACGATTTGAAAACATAAGAGCTTTATACAAAAGACTTCACAAACGAACATTTATTTTTTAAATGCTATTATTTTTCCAATGGTGTTTTAAAATATTACTACCAAAGTTGTGTTTTTCTTTTTAAGATTGAAGCTCTACAAGAAGTTCTTGAAAAACTGAAAAACAAAGGAATGCCTTTTTACGGGAAAAAATATGGACAATTACCTATGGTGAGTTGTGGCTTTAATTTTCTACTTCGTTGATTATTGTTGCTAATGCACATACACTGTATACAGTATACAGTAAGGAATGCAGTGACAATTCCATAACAAACGATTTTTAACATTTTTTATGTTTTTGTACCTGGTACACATTTGAAAGGAGATTTCTAGATAAAAATCGACTTTCTCATTCTCCTTTCTTGTGATTTACTTGGCAGTGTGAGGCTGGGGAGCAGTGCGCTCTGAGGAAAGGCGCAAGGATCGGGAAGCTCTGTGACTGTCCGAGAGCCACGTCCTGCAACTCTTTTCTGCTCAAGTGCTTGTAACGTTGTTACATTGAGCTAAGTAACGTTGCCATCTGTTACTTGACTCTTTTAACACTTCACTGGTGTAAAGCGCGGAAGAGTCCTAGAGCCCCCCCCAGAAAGCGGTAGTCTTTGAATCCTGAAATTTCACCTGAACCTTATTTATACAAATAATTTTGTATTTGGAACAATTCTCTACTGAATCCTGTTAATTATCTTGTTTTCAAGAAGTTTCTAGATGTATTGTTGTAAACACATGCATAGTAGGAATATTACGGGTTTTGAAAAAAATCATCGTATCCGGTAGCGTGTTTAAGGACTTTTTTTTTAAAGAAGGCGTTAAAAACAAATACAGTGACATATTCAAAACTCCGTAGAATAAGGTACAGTAGATCTGCATAGCATGCAGAGTTGTCACCAAACTTAAGGATACATCCTATTCACTTCTTTAGCAATTGTAACTATAAAATATAGTGTACTGTATAAGGACAAGCCATAACCTAACCTTGCTAAGGTGATCAATACGATCCCATCCTTCTCATTATTTAGCCTCGAATGACGGCATTCCCAGAACCAGCAGTTCAATTTATTATTTTCTCCTGCCCTAAGGCTCTTTCGTTCTGTAAAAGAGGGGTGAGCACAAACAATATTTAAAATCGTTGTACATTTATGTATCGTTATGGCAGTTTTTCTTTGCAGTTACTACAATTGACGATGCTTAAAAGAAATGTTTGAAAAGCAATTACTTGTATTTTTAAAATGTATTTTTGTATTTCGCTTGTGACGCAGCAAATAAATGGAAATCAAATGCATTGTTTTGCCCCTTAATTTAAAGACGGTGTTCAAATTTGTATCCAAATATACAGTAAATCCGGTAAAGCATATACATTTTCATTGTTCTTGTTTTAAAAGTTTATATAATGAAACGTCACATGTATGCATAAGATATACTGTAATGCCACTTCACATACAGTATTTACACTATGATGAAGAGTGGGGTCCAGTTTAGAGCAATATGTGTACAATATGTTCACTTTCAATATCAAGATATCTTATATAGTTCAGAGGTGTCAGAAACAGGTCCTGGAGGATCTGTGTGTCTGTGGGTTTCCAAGGTCTCTTTAAAGCAGAGGCAAATGAAGACCTAACAAAAGCTGTTAAATTGGACTGGCAAAGCAAGTAACCAGGTCATTTAGCTCATTAAGAGCTGACATGGAATGAAAACCCTCTCACAGCTGGACTCTAGGAGCTGTACTGAACACTGCTCATATAGGTGCTTCAAAAAGACTCAGACCTCTCCCGGCTTCTTGCCTCCCACACATTGCATATGAGTGACAAGACTGGCATTTAATTCAGGGAAACCTATTGTTTGAACACCCAGGGCAAGGGGCAAGCTGTGTGTCTCTGGATCACGGTGCACTTTTAAAAGGTTTCAGGACTAATCTGTGAGAAGACTTTGGCATGTTTGGCATCTTTGTGCAAATTTTATCAAATATCCTGGCTTGGCAAGCATGCTTTGGCCTATGTAAAAAAATAAAGGATTTATTTGGCATAATTTTTCTGAAATTGAGAATTGCTGTGGCTCTAATATATATTTTCAGGAGAAACCATGAAGCATAAAAAACAGCTCCAAATAACTAGCTAACTAGGTACATTTTTAATTTTGAATTATTGGTATAATTTTTTTTGGCTTTTTTGCACACAACTGCTTGTTCATATTTTATTACCCATTGAATCTCTGTCAAATGTTCTTTTACAGCACATTTGAGGGGTCTAAAATAACAGTTAGACTGGGCATGATCCAGATTGTAGAGCAGACTCATTATACAGTATGTTAAAAAATAAAACAAAATCTTTAATAAATATTTACTGTATGTGTTTGTATTTACAAAGTACAGAATTCTCCATGGAGTCTGAATAACTGAATGTTGAATTCTCCAATGTTGGGAGACCAGGACTGTTGCAGTGGTGGAATTCCCTACTGTCTTGTTTGTTCCCAGTGGGAATTTAAAAGATGCCACAACAGCTGTGATTCAATACCTGCAGGATCAGATATTATGTACACATACACTGGCTTCACAAAAATGGGAATATATTCAGAAAGATGCTTGGCCCACTTCCAGTGGTGGTTCATCTGCAGTCATCACTAGATCTTCACACTATATGGGACCACTTCGTGAAATAACATTTGATGGAGCTCTTTGTAGGTTATGGGTAAGGCTGAACAGTGTCTGCCAATGTTCAAGCACATCTCATCTTTTTATTACCTACCACGGCAGCTGGTAACCCCTTTGGACTTTTTGAATTGACACATTAGACATGTTTTCAGCAGTGTACCAGTGGTGCACATGCACCCATAACTATGACCTCATGTGTGGTTTCCCCATAGCACAGCACTCTATGAAAAAGGACTATTCTGAACTACTACTTCACAGTGTTTAAGAAACATGAGGCGCACAGTGTGTTGGCTATTTCTTAATATTTTGAAAAGGATGGGTATATTTATATATTATTTTTACATTTATACAAAACTATACTTATATGTGTATTAATAATCCAACAAATAATATATGTTCAATGTAGATCCCTTACACAGCCATAGTTCGGTACTGATCAGCATATCTTTATGACAAATGGTGACATACAATATGTGTGTGGATATGCAAAGACAAATAGCAGAACCTGTCAGATATATTTTGTGTAAATTTAAGAAACTTACTTATTTGCTCTATATGCAGCACATTTAATTTGTACCTGTAAATACATACTAATGGAAAAAAGAAACACAACACCTCCTCCTCCACACTCTGGCCCTTCCATCTGCGTGGAACAGGCTGAAGAGTGACTCATCTACTGTATGAAGAGGACCTGATGCCACTGCTGACAAGTCCATAGCAGCCTCTGTCTGGCCCAAGCCAGTCGGGCATGATGTCTAGGTGTGAGCAGAGGGCCTCTGACAGGTCACCTTGCTCTAAGGCCAGCAGCATAGAGCCTCATGTCCTGTCATTATGGAATGCACAGACAACTGTCTAAGTGTGGCCTTTTTCTTGCAGTGACCTAACCTTTGAATTAAGGCCTTTTTAAAGGTGACCTGATCGGGCATTGTTTCACCTGGACCTCGTTGGGTAAAAGTGCATCTAATGAGCATCCGTGTGATGGGCAGGTTGCAATGTCTCACTGCACAAGCTGTTTTGCTGGTCAGAGGGCTTAAAACAAATTGACAACTTTTTGTGAAAGTACATAAGCTATAACTATAGTATTCTCATTCCAGAAAATGTTGTGTTTCTTTTTTCCATCAGTATATATGCACATATTGTATTTCACACATAGGTTTGATTGATTTAAAATCAGATGGTATTTTAAGATGAAATACAGTCACCCTTGTTTGCATCTTTGCTTCTTTGAATATCATTGCAGAGATAAAATAATGTCAAGCAGAAGGTTATTATGGAAATGTCAGCATCTGTGCATAGAAAGTGTAAACTAGTTTCCTGTATTGAATACACCAGCTGACGTTATAAACAACTTTGTGATGCACAAAATTAGAACATGTTCACTTGTTGGCACAACAAATGCATGCACATAAAACACAATACATTGACTGATTTGTTTCTTAAAATGAAAATGAAACGTAACTGAATATATTGTCCTATCAGTATCAACTGAAATGTTTTATATTTAAGATAAAGAGACATGAAGTTACCTATTTTGAAATAACCAGTTCTGAAGTGGAATCAAGACAGTTCAGTTCTGACTTTATTTCAAGCAGAAGAACTGGCACAACCGGAGAAAATTGCATTCAGGTTGTAATTAATATGATGCACACAGGCTCAGGATCACTAAAATACACCCCTGCACTGCAATTCATCACAACTCATCATTGAATCAGGTCAGTTGCAGTCAATAAAAGCAGAAAGAGGCATTCAACAGGTTATGAATAATCACAGTGAAGTCAGAGAAAACAAGACAGACAGATAAAAGAAAGGCATTTGTAAATGTCATGTTCCAGCACACAGCAAAGCCTTCCTTTTTAGCTTGTTTATTTTGCATTTTTCTTTTTGAAATTGATCTTTAAAGTGTCCGATATTTACCTACAATGCCCCTAACATTTCCTTACTAGTTCGCACATTCTTGCAAGATTTTTAAGTTGATAGAAAACATGATCTTGCGAAATACTCCACAGAAGACAATTATCGTCATGCATCAGCTTACAATGGTATATAGGTATCCTATGTTCCAAAATGCTTCAGAATTATCTCAGAAGTACAAAAATGAGCAGGAGAGTTTTGGAATAATGTATAATGGACAGATGAAACTGCGAAAAAACATTTTTACCAAAGTAAGACTAAGCTTAGGGGTGGAAAAAGAAAGGAAGTGTAGTTGCTGTACAGAACAGCACCTTGTTTGTGAAATACACATCTTTATTGGTAATGTAACTAATGATGGCAGTAGTAGAGTGAATTCTGAAGTCTACAGGAACATTTGCTTGTGTAGAAGAAAATGTCTTTATAATTACAGGGTGGCATTTCACCAAGCAACATGAGAATGATGCAGAACATGCAGCTAATGCAACTGAGAAGGTCTTCGGAAGTGAATGATTATGTTTACGTGAGCCAAGTCAATCTCCAGATTTTTATTAAATTGAGTTTACATTTTACATGTTGAAGAACAGAATCAAGTCCAAATCCCCCGAGAACAGATAAGAGCATAAAGTGACTGCAGCAAAGCATATCAAATAATTAAAACAAAATTATGATGAGCTCTATGGGTCACAGACATCATGTAATTATTACCTCAAATACGTGTGCTAAAAATCCTGACTTTTACTAAATGTACTTAAAGCTAATGTTTCTTAATGCTTATTGTCAATGAATCACTGGGGTCAATACATTTTTTTTCTTATATGATCAAATTTATGCATGGAACTACTCAAACATAAATTATTTATTCAATTGCACTTACAGTATTATCCATATTATTCTCTTGATAACAAATACAAATTGCTTGCTTGTAATGGAAAAATAACAGTTTTGACTTGGCTGTGCCAATACATTTGGAGAGAAATACATGTACAGTATATCAAAGGTAACACATTTAATGTCAAATATAGCAGATAAAAGGTTTATAAAGTCTTCTAAGTCAGGAGAGTGAGGTGGTTTTCCGGTAACTATTAAATTAAATATCACAGATGTAGAGATAGTATGTAATATAGAATTAATAGTTTAAATATGGTTGTTCACTAAAAAGCAAATGGTACCTGAAGCCAAAGTAACGAGGAAGCATAGTATAGATATATACCAATATGATAAAATGCAAAATCAAGATTTATTTACATAATTTTGCCATTTACCCTATGCAATGTGTACATGGCATGTATAGTTTCTGAGTTTTACTGCTGCCTCAGCCTTGACCCAAATGTAACAGTCTCCCACCTCGTGTTCGGGATGCCGAGTCAATCTCAATATTCAAATCCAGTCTGAAGACCTATTACTTCAGCCTAGCCTACTCACACCTTGCATTATAGCCTGCTGCAACCATGGCTGCTGGTTCTGCTGTACATGCCATTGTGTGTCTCTGTGTTGGCCCACCAGGTAGATACATCTGTTCTGACCAAATTTTCCTCTTCCCCTCCCACATGTCCGGATGGTGCCCGGGCTGGGCACCACCTGAGTTGGATATGCATCACTGCCATGGATCCAAGAGGGACATCGTGGATATAGCTATTGTTAAGGAGGATTTTGCTGATCTATCTACAGAGATCTGCATGGAGTACTGACATACAGAAGACATGATGGATGGATTAATACCCTTATTCATTCATTCCTTTTTTAAATTGTAT